GGACCAGTTTGGGCTGGGGGAGGGCGGCCGAGGTGGGGTTCTTCTTCCGCTCGCTGAGGAAGCGGGCGAACGAGCGCAGGACCAGCGGGTGGTTTTTCTCGGGCCGGAATTGAGCGATATAAAGGATGATGGGTTCCCGGCTGCGCTCCGAGTCCTCATCGACTGTGATGGTCGACTCGATCTCTGACACTGCCGTGGGCGGGAAGATGACGGTGGGCTCTTTGAAGGTCCTGCGCGTCCGTGCGGGGCCCCAGATGGTCCGGATATGGGCCGATGTCCAGGAAGAGTTACACATGACAACATCAACATGACCTCCGACCCAACCGTAGAGACGGGCAAATGCCAGCCAGTACTTGCGCTTGACCTGGCCCTTGAACCCCTTGCCCGCGCCCGCATTGACCCCTTTTAGGCCGGTGCTGTCATCCAGGGATTGAAGCATGTCGGTCGAGATGGTAGGATAGTGGACGTATGCACCTGTAGGAACAGAGGGGAAAAGCATCTTGCAGAACGCAAGGGTGAATGCGTAGCCCATAGTGTCGATGAACACATCCGGGACGAGCAGGCTGAAGGCGTCATAGGCAACCACCAGAGACCCGAGAGACTGTCCCAGAAGCGTCATGTACGGATACATGCTGCTCAGAACATATTTACGTGTAGTCAAATAGAGCAGAACAACAGTGGGCGCATGAAGTTGAATATTGAAGCGGTTCTGCAGGGTTGAGTCAGCGAGTCCTTCGTACACAGACCGGCTAGACTCACCTCTACCCTCTCCAGCATGGCCGTCTTGTTGACCTCGTGGTCACCAGTATATATAGCGCAGATTGCCTTGGGCCATCGCCGTTGCGTTGCTCTTACAGCTTCCCAAAGAACACGTTCTCCTCCTCCGCCAGCGTTACTAAGTCAACAATCCAATATCGTTAGCCAATGTTGGCCCCTGGTGCAGCTTCTGAGGTTCTCCTACCAGAAAGGGTGAAAGAATCCAACGATACCCTCCCAGTCTGCATCTGCTGGACCTTTGTTGCCGTTATTCCCGCCTTTCTTACTGAGGCCAGCTGTCCCGGAGCTGGAACTCGAGCTATCAACCTTCTCCCAGTCCTCGTCCTCTCCCCGGGGAGACGACTTGGATCGCTTTACCAGCTGTTCCTCCTCATCTGCTCGAACTTTCGAGATCAGAAACTCCCTGCGAGACCGTGTTCTCTTTTGAATGACCCATCCGACACTACGGAGCACGAAGCGGAGAACCCCCAAGGGGAGCTGGGGAAGGAGGACGCAGGTCGCAAGGAGGGCGAGAAGTGTGAGGAATGTCTTTAACAGAAACAGCATCATGATCAACTCGAGACAAGAGACATAGTCGATGAAGGTTTCCTGTAGATCGGGGCGTCGAGGACAGAAAATAGTCAATGGGTGGGATGTCCGGCTGACGACTGCCGACTGATCATATTCGGCTCAAAATAGCACCTGTATTATTTGGCAGTTTCCTATCGATAGCAGCTGGCGATAACAACGCCTGATGATAACAATAGACGGTGTATGTAATGTATGTAATGTTCTGTCTTGTTCTGTTTGATACTATACCGTCAGGTATTGCAGCTCAAAACGCCACGTGATATGCTTACTGGAGCTTCTGCAGCAGTACTTTGTTTTTTTCCGAGTGTATACCAGCAGAACCACACATGCACTGCTCCATTGTAAGTGTATGCTAATCTTATCTCATTTCCTTTCTTCAGAATATATATTTTATTTCTCGTCTCTCGTTCAACTCTGTTTCAATTCCTTCTTTCAGCAATTGAGCTGTCCATACGATGAGACCGCTTCGTCCTTCGCTCCGTTCGCCGCATACTGCCAGCAAGCGGGTAGCCCAGCACATACGGCATTTCCACGCCACGCGGCCATCTCCTTTTATTAATGAAGTGCTGGACGTTTCGTCTGGCTTCATTCATGCCGTTCATTCGATAAGTGGCCTCCCATGGGCCATGTCCATCCCATTGACCGCCTTGATCGTCCGAACTACCGTTGCGATGCCGCTGCAGATGTATACCAAAATCCAAGCACGCAAGGAGCGAGACCTAGCTCCGCTACTTCACTCATGGAGGAAACATTTTCAAGCGCAAATCAAAAAGCGTGTTGATGCCGAGAATCACAACCCAATCCTCCCGAGAGAGGCAATCCGAGAGTTAGCGACAAAGGTAAAGGCGAAACGGAAGGAACTGCACAAGCGATGGAACGTGCCCCGATTCTGGAAGCCTGTCGGCTTCCTGCAGATACCGATATGGATTTCAGTTATGGAGAGTCTCCGAGCCATGTCTGGAAACAACACTGGTCTCGTACCGTACCTCCTCTCCCTGGTTGAACCCTCCTCCGCAAAGCCAAGCACCGCGGTCCACCTGGCCGTCGAGCCGTCTCTGGCCACTGAAGGAGCCCTCTGGTTCCCCGACCTCTTGGCTGGAGACTCGACGGGCATTCTTCCAGCTGCACTCACTCTGTCAATCATTCTCAATATTCGTGCTGGGTGGAAGGCTCCTGCTCTATCGGACATGGCTGACTTACCGCGGATCGAGATTGCAAAGAACCTGACTGTGCGTGGTATCAGGGTACTGGTCCAGGCGCTTGCCTTGAATATCGGCGTTTCGTCCTATCTGTACGAAATGCCTTCTGCGCTCATGATCTACTGGATAAGCAGTACGAACATTGCTACTTTACAAACTTTCTTACTGGAGAGGTACATGTTGTCAAAGCCACTCCTTGAGCCCTGGAGACAGATTCATATTGGCTATCCTCAAGAAGGTGAAAAGACGTCTCCACTGAAAAAATGATCAAGATTGCACGCCAGAGGAGCGCAGATGGCCAACCACCTATGATGAACGAAATGGCGAACACCGATGAAACCAAGCGTGCAAGAATGAGCTCACCAGTGATAGGCGGAAGAAGAGCCAACGCAGAGACAACCTTTCAGGGCCACACGAGTCGAGATGGCTCTCCGCTCGTGCTGATGCCGCCTTAGCGACGCCCAGGCATGTGGCTCTTACTTCCGGTGACCAGGCTCAAGACACGCTCTACACAGGCGGTGGAGCTCCGTGCAAGTCGGTGTACGTGTGGCTTGTATAGTCAAAGAAGCGGTAGTTTGGAATCTGACGAGGAACCCCAGTTGCTGGTCGAGTGCGAGCCCAGCCCTGTGCCACTGTATCGCCTGCTCCCCAGTCAAGCTCTTGAGGGCTCCTGTCGTCCACACTGAAGAGCGGGTGAGGGTCTTGTCCAAGGCCTGACAACCATTTCAGAATGATCTCCTCGCGTGTCATTGGACCTTCAGGTGCAGCAGATTCGACTGGGACCCCACCTCTATCTTCGGATACTGTGCCAGGTTCCACTGGGACTCGAACATTCTCTTTCTCAGTCACTGGGTTGACTCCGGCCGGGACTGGGAATCCCTTATTCTCCTTTTCAGTGACATCGTCGTGAAGTTCAATTCCGAGTCCATGGTTGTTGAGGTCTTGGTCATTTTCGTCAACAGGTCCAGCGTCTTTGGCCGGTGATTGTGCGTTCTTAGACTTGTCCTCTGGGGACTCAAGAGCAAGATGCTCGATTCCAGCGTTGTATGTGACCCAAAAGCTGAGGTACTCATCCTCCTCCAATTTGAGGTCTTCCATGTTGGTACTGCTCTTCAAGAGAAATGCTCACCGAATCAGCCGTGAACTCAAAGCTCCATTAGTCAGGCTCCATGACTTACCCGGTTGGACGATTGAACGCTGCTCTGACTTCGAATGGCAACGCCGCAGCCTTGAAGGAACGATCCTATTGGATTCCTCAACGGGCAAGACCACAGAACAGGACAGTCAGTCAAGAGACGAAACACAACGGGCACTCGCAAATCCTCGAGCCGAGTCGTAGTATGTGAGCAATTCCAAAACACAAAGGGATTTCGACTTGCTTCTTCCAAAAAGCACTATCAGCTGGACAAGGTGTCTGGAAGAGAAAAGACTAGGAGGTCGAGATAGAAGAGGGATAGGGACAAAACATGGATACAAAGGGTGTGAGAGAGGTGCGGCAAAAGTTCAGGAAGCAATAGTCACTGTGCTTGCAGAAACTTGCTCGCCCCTTTCCCAAAAGGGTCGTGATTGACGCTATCTGAGACGACACCGTCCTCTGTATGATGTCGTTGCAGAGTAGTATAGTGCTCTCTCTCTTCAATCTACTAGAAGAAGATGTCTAGATTCACTAAATCACATTCCTACTCCCGAAGTACCTTTAGCCATCTACAGATCAGTCTGCATACACCAACAGCAGACCCTAACAGCCATACATCTAACTAAGTACATCTAAGGAACTTCCTTCCTTCTGCAGCAGTCTAGAGACCAGCACCTTAAGTATAGTCCTTAACTCTCTTCCTGGCCAAAGATGGAGGATCCATTGACTCACTCAGGTCTATACTCACTGAGGTGTTTCAGGGCATGCCTCCTCACGTGGCTTCACTGCTCCCCAGATCCACGTGGGTCCACATGACTCATAGTAAATGGCCTCACTGCCACCCTGAGATGAACTCACTAGTGAATTTTTTCTTGTATCTCATTTTTTGGCTATTAATTTAATATTTTTTTATTGTTTCCCTATCCAGAGATCCTGTTGCTATCTCCTCATCGGCGAAATGGTTACCCCACGTGTTAGGACTTATATTCATTCTTGATCAAAGGTACATGGAGCAGGCCCAGCAGGGTACTCCAAGACCAGAATCACATCCTTGAGATTGCAAATCTACTATGCTGAACAATTTATGAGTATTGCTACTGCGGTAGTATCATCAACGCCAGACCCAAGAACCACGCCAGCATATGCACTGGAAAATAACTCAGCCCAACCCAAGAGAGCCAGTTGAGAGTTTCATCCGATGGTATGCTCCCCCATAAAATCACAGTAGAAAAGTGAAGGCCATGTAGAAGAAAGTGGCACCCCTGCACTAGAGGAAAATGTAGATTGGATGCTATTGGTTCGACAAGGTATCGATGCTGTCATAGCTTGGCTTTCTGATTTTCCTCCGACGCGCTGGCTTCCTGGTTGACGGTGATGGTCCGGTTGTCAGGGCCGTCGCCGAAGAAGATGACCTCGACGGTAATGTCGTCGCTGGCAAACTTGTGAGTTCATTCCAAAGATAGATTGTAGCGCAAAGTGCAGGGGATAAAGGAGTATTGCTTACCGGTATCTGCGGGAGTACGGACTAGGGAGTGTGAGCAAAGCGCAAACCATGTCCCTGTCCTTGCCACCCATCGCGTTGCGCACGAGATGAGTTGCGGCGTTCTTGTCTTCTACGACAAAACGACTGGCAACGCCCGAAATGTCGTACTGTTGCTGACGGATCGGACGGCGCTGGCCTTCCGTGGTCGTCTCCTTGGGTGCCTCTACGGGCAGATGCTTGTCGTCTAAGCCAAACCAGCTCTGCAGCCACGCCTTATTGGTTCCGTTGTTGCCAGCCCGCTGCTGGTCAACCCATTGGCCCACAAGGCCGACGACTTCTTCATTGCTCAGCATTTCCCAGAGGCCGTCCGTAGCCATGACGACAAAGTCACCCTTACTAGGCTCAATCTTCGTGGTCGTGATGACAGGTTCGGCGGTGACATAAGGAGGAGTCTTTAACAGGGGATGAGGGGTCCTTCCGAAAAACTGCTTCTTGATTTTCTCCTGGGTCTCCTTGCTCCACTTGTAGAATGCATCTCCAAAGGAACGGCTAGGCTCCAGTTGTCCCAGAATTCGTCCGTTACGCACAACATTCGGTTCGCCAGGATGCTCCTCCCGCAGACGCTTCATCTCTGAAGGGGTGCCACCAGTCTGATCCTCAGAAAGTGGTGTTGCCGTCCATTTTCCGGTAGGTCCACGGCGGCCAAGAACAGCTCTTGAGTCACCAGCACAGGCGACCTTGAGGTCTTTGGATTGCGAGTCATAGAATGCAAGCAGAGCACAGGATCCGGAGAGGGCGGGCGCAAGCAGCTCAGCTGCGGCTCGGCGGGAGTTGGATTTGAGGACCTTGTCGACACTACTATGCACGATATCGTTATCAAGGCGGACAAAGGCTTGCTTGATTGCCGCGTCCACAGCTTCGGATGACGGGCTAATAAGTGAAGGATTGGTAGCTGCAGCCTTGTAGGTCGTATTCAGCTCCCGGGCCACGTATGAGATCAGTACATTGCGCAGTTTGGCCGAGGTTGTCCATCCCCTAGCTCAGACGTTAGAATTCGCAGGTATGAATTGTTAAGAAGCAGACTTACGAATGACCATCAAATACAGCCCAAAACATCCAATCACTAGTCGACTCCCCATCGTTCGCCGCAGCTACAGAGGAAGGCACTTCGACAATCTTCTCCGCATGATCATCCTCGATTGGCGAGTTGCTCGGAACCTGGACGACATCGTATCGCACGACACCTTTGCCCCGATTAACCATAAAGGACTGCTCATTTCTCCTCAACTTCTGTGTCGCCTGTTCAGGCGTCAACATCTCTAGAATTCGGCGGTCGGAATCGTCTGTCTGCTTGTAAAGAGGCTGGTCTCCAGATAGTGTTGCCGTGTAGAACTGATCATTGTCCACGAGGATCGCACGTCTGGTAGATTCCGCGGAGTCTTCAGCGTGCGCTCCTGAAGATGCGTCTGTAGCTAGTGACCGTGTTTGCGATGGGGACGTCACGGGGCTCTGCTGAGAGCTGCTACCCTGATAAGCGTACCAAGCGCCAGATGCGACAACCGTCGATATCACCGCAAGAGAAAAGTTTCGGAGATGCATCGATGACTGCAAGGTTGCTGGAATGAAGGAGGGATGTCGTCCACGGGAGGAGAGCCGGAGACCTAGAGGCTGATTATGGGAGAACGACACAGTGGACGGTCTCCTAGCGCTGACCTTCCATACTGGTACACGACGAGCAGTACGGAAAGTTTGGAGGGCCAGGCGACGCATTGAACTTGCGGTAACGTTCAGGCAATTGAGAAACCGTAGATCCAGCGAGGCTGGTACGGAAAAGCGGAATGGTGTTGTTCGCTGTTGGTCCTGACTGTTGATCTCCAGAAACATGGAGAGCGGTCCCAGGCATCAAGGCACGGCAGATGATAACGTCATGTGATAGATAATGTATCATATGGTAATATGGAACTAACTTGGTAAGGTACCGTACAGTAGTAATATATAGAGTCCCGCACTAAGCCTAAGCGGGCTGTGTCGTCATGTCTGTGGTCTTCGTCCTTTCTCCAAATATCTCCAGAAACAGATCATTTGAGGATTGATCGCCATCAAACCATTTTTACGTTGAATATTACTGACATAGAGTCTCATCGTCCTCCGCAACTCGGTCCTGAATGTCCTCCCGAGCGATTCGCAAGCTGCAGAAGCTTCGCGAACAAGAATTGCAACAAGCCCACCTACAAGCGGAGCAAGATAACGATGAGTCGGATGAGTATGAGCCGGTAATCCGGCCCTCAAGGCCGAAGCTAAATGCTTTTGATCTCCTCAATGCTGGTGACGACGAGGATGAGGAACGCGAGTCTGATCACGATATCGAAGAGACAGGGACTCACCCGCCGGAAGATGTCCCTGCCCGCGCAAAATCCGCGGATTCTAGTAAGAAGAAGAAAAAGAAGAACAAGAAGAAGAAGGCGGCAGTGGCAAAGGTTACGGCCACAGGAGGAGCTCCCGGTGCCAAGTCAGATGACGAGCTGGACGAGATCGATCGAGCTCTGAAGGAACTAGCTGTTGAATCCAAAGGTACTGACAGTCAAAAGGCTGCAGCTGTGTCCCCAGAGAATGTCCGCGGCGCATCATTCGCCAAGACACCAGGGGAGCTGCTCTCTATTGAGCCTAAATTTCTCAACGCCATGAATGAGATGCGAAGGTTGTTTGGGAATGTCGTATTGGAAAGTTTCGACGAAGAATCTGGGACAGGTCGCAGGAGAGACAGAAATAGGGAAATGGTTGATCTGGGTCGCGCTTTGACTGGTAGGTATAGTCCTGCCAGCAAAGGTCTAAGTCTAGCAGGGACTACGCAGCGGCGGAATGTTCTCATGCAGGGAAAAGACGAGTGGCCGCGCGCTCCCAGTGGTGGTTTGGGAATGGAGCTGGTAGAAAAACTACCCAGTGGAGCTACGAAATACCAGATTGTCCACAACTCTGCGTATACAGACGTGCAAAGACAATTTGATATGTGCGTCGAGTCCATGGATCCGCAACGAATGCTCCACCTCTTGCAATATAACCCGTACCACATCTCTACTCTCCTTCAAGTGTCCGAGATAGCAAAACATCAGGGCGATCATGCCGTTTCCGCCGATCTCCTCGAGCGAGCCCTGTTCAATATCGGGCGCTCAGCTCACTCGTCGTTCGGCAATCGCTTAAAGGAAGGTCAGGCAAAACTCGACTTTGTCCACATGGCAAATCGTGAGCTGTGGCTTGTGGGTTGGAGGTATATTGCGAATCTGGGGATGAAAGGAACGTGGAGAACAGCATATGAATGGGCTAAGCTACTGTTGAGCCTGAATGATGACGACCCGTATTGCATCAGGCTTTTGATCGACCATCTGGCGCTACGGGGCAGAGAATACGCGCACTTCGTCGATTTGTGCACACAAACTAGACTGAGTGAGGACTGGGCGCTGTTGCCCAATATCCAATGCTCACTCGCACTGGCATATCTTCGGTTGAATAAACCAAAGGGATGCCGCGAGCAGCTGCGCCGTGCCATGTCGAGATATCCGTGGGTATTCTGTAAGCTTGCGCAGGAGTTGGATATTCAACCCATGCCCAAGCGCATATGGGGCAAGATGCCTCCGACGGACGCCCACGAGTTGCTTACTGAGCTCTACATTGCCAGAGCCAAGGACCTCTGGAGTACTCCTGAAGCGGTCTCCCTGATTGTAGAAATCGCCGACACTCTTCCAGAGGAAGAAGAGCCCATCGAACCTCCGGAAATCACTTTAGACATTGCACGCCATGTCGTCCTCTCGGATATTCCCCGCGTGACAACACATTTGCCCGGACGATTTGTTTCGGGGCGAATCTCAGCCTCTGATCCTCTCCCGCCTTACGATTCTGAGGCTCATCGGCAGCAATCGGACCCAACGCCGTCCTACTTGGCGCAGATGCCAGAAGTGGGCCGACCACAATGGCTTCGCGATTTGCTAGACCAGCTGAACAACGGAGCGCTTCATTTTCCTCGATTCCGCGGGGGCGACAATGAAGAGATCCGCGATGATGATTTATCCGATAACGATCGGGAAGAAGCTGGTGGCGAGCGCCGACATCCTATGGCCGACCAGGGAGCATCACTAGAGCAGTGGCTTCTGGGAGATGGTATGCAGAGCTTGCAAGCCTTTTTGAATCAGTACGGAGTCGATCGTGGTAACTGGGGGGATGTGGTCGACTACTCTCCCTTGACGGAGTATCTGGACGGTCTCGATGCTGTGCAGCCGGATGAGGCACGACAAGAGTTACTTCATGGGGGAATCAGAGAGGTCATGGGTGATATGGTTGTCGATATGCTTGAGAATGAGCTTGAACTTCAGCAGTATGACGACGAGGACGAAGTCTGATCATAGTTCCTGGTCTCTGTCAACTTGGTTGTATATACCCTATATAGCATTAAAAGTCGGTCGACTTCTTCCGGCCTGCAATATATTGAGTGATCATCTGTCAAAGCAAGGTAGCTGTTATGTTGTAGTATGCAGTCATTCTGCGGATATGTTTGTCCGGATATATACTTCTGCGGCGATGAGACTCAGCACTACTGTCTACGTATATATGCACCACGATGTGACTAAAACATGCAAATACGAACCACAGGAGCGCACCCTCCAAATATAAGGTACACTTTCGAGGCTACATCTCACAGGATACAGAATGACTTCAATTTCCCCAGTGATAAAAGAATGCCTTACTGCCAGGCAGCCAATCCCAGTGCTCGCTTAGTCACAATCTCTTATCGGACGCGGCCACCAAACGGGATTTCGTACTCCCTAGAGAGGTGCTAAGAGCTGCTATTAATATAGAGTCGCATCAAGGAAAATCTTCATTTCTCGCTTTGAAAACTCTTCTTGTTTCAGATAGCCGAAAGCCAAAAGCTGGATGTACTTTGGCTAGTGGCTAGACTCGTTCCGACTGAGACGGCGTCGATTGGCACTCAAAGTTTTCCGAGCTTGATCTGTGTCATTGATTGTTCCTTCACTCGCTTTCTTTTCTGCAATCGCAGGGCCCGGGTCGCAGAATCGCAATGTCCCTCCTATTGGCGCAGGGAGATATCCCTGCGGGAAATTCTGTCCCGATCACACCGCGTGAAGCTGCATCTGGTCTTCTGGGCTCTATCTCCTTGACCTGTTGGTTTTTCTTACTGGTATGGCTCACACCGGCCTGGATATCGCGATCAACCGATCGCACGAGACGAACAAGAGTCCAATGCTGATCGCAACCCCGTGCAGGTCCCCCAACTCATTGAGAACTACTGTAATGGCAATGCTGAAGCCATCTCGCTCCTCTTCCTCTTCGTCTGGTTCATTGGCGATATCACCAACCTGATCGGAGGCGCTTGGGCCGGCCTCGTCCCCGTCATTGTGGCCATTGCGGTCTATTTCTGTATTGCGGACGGTGTGCTCATCGCGCAATGTCTGTACTACAAAAGCCGCAATGCTCGTCGTGAGAGTCTGCTTCGTCGTCGGCGGTCCTCCACCGTCACCCCCGACCCGACCACTCCTTTGCTCGGTCGTGGATTCAGCGATACCCTGGAACGGGGTCCGGCTTCGCGACGCCGATCTATGACGTCGCAGCGTAGCGGACGGGGCAGTCACGGCCACCCTGACGATGCTCTAGCCAATATCATCGAGGAGAACGAGGTTGGCTGGAGCGCTTGGGTGAAGAACTTCAGCAGTGTCCTGGCAATCTGCGTCATCGGCATGGCCGGTTGGACGGTCGCCTGGCAGACCGGGGTCTGGAAACCAGCTCCGAAGGAGCGTAATGGAGGCGTGGATATGGCAGCTGGCGCGCAAGTGCTGGGATATATCAGTGCCGTTTGTTACCTGGGGTGAGTGTGCTTTCTGACGGAGATGGAGCTGGACTGACAGTAAGCTTCTAGTGCGCGACTTCCTCAGATCTACAAGAACTACTCCGACAAGTCATGCGAAGGTATGTGCTTTGACCTTTTAAGAAAACTCACATAAGAAAGACCCCCTTTACTGACCTTTTCATAAGGACTTTCATTGCTCTTCTTCATCCTCTCTTTGATGGGCAATCTTACTTATGGCGCTGGCGTAAGTAGAAGGCTACTCCTCATCATACCACACCGGTCTAACCATTCGTAGATTCTCTGTCATTCAACGGACAAGAATTACGTCGTGACGAATCTACCTTGGCTAATTGGCTCTTTGGGCACGATGGTAGAGGACGTGGTCATTTTCGTACAGTTTCGCCTTTACGCAGAGCCGAGTCCTCAGCTCACGACTGCAGTGTCGTGACATCTCGCTCTTCGCTGAGGATATGCCTTTATGGCTCAGCAGCGGTTGATGTACTAACCCAAGTATGCTTTGTTTTATACTTTCTCATTTCCTGTACTGTATTCCGACAAAAGTTCTGTTGTTTTTCTTTTCTTTTCTCTCCAGTGGTGACGGAGTATGTTCTGCGGATTTGGCACGGCGTTGGTGGTTCGGTTGACGGCAAGATTGCTACAACAGTATATATTAAACAACTTAACTGCGCGAGCAGGCGAGGAGAAGGGATTTACAAGGTGTATACAATGGAGAACACTTGCAGCAGAAGGAATCCTTTGTTCATGGTCGCATGACAGACATAGCATGAGAACTGGGCAACTATGCTAGAAACGTATCTAGCAACAAGCAAATGGCAAAAACTTTTTCTCAGAATCTATTATGATTCTAACCGAGGGCGGCCACAACGATCTCGCCCTCAGCAGATATGGATATGCCAATTCTCCCTTTACTTGACGGCCCGAAATCCTAGCGTCATCCGCACCGGTACCTCTGTCACGACGGAACCCATCATGCAAGCAAAGCGCCCAGTCCCACCAGATGTCCTTGTCCGTTTGATTCTTCTTTTTTTCCCTTTTTGGTCTTCGTGCAGTCGCGTTGTATCGGGTACAAGAGATTCGAGTAATGTAAGGAGATAGGAGAGAAACGAGGAAAAAAAGGAAACAGAACGTCGAACGGATTAGGACGTTTAGTCGAACAGACCGAAGCCCATGTCCTCGTCGGACTCCTCCTTCTCTGTACAAAGGATCAGTGTTCCTGTTCGCGAAGCCCAGTCTCACAGGTTTCGAGTCTTTACCTTCTTCCTTCTTCTCCTCAGCAGCAGCCTCGGCGGGAGCGGCAGCACCGGCAGCAGCACCGCCAACGGCAGCGGGGGCAGCAGCACCGCCGGAGCCGACGTTGGTCAGAAGGTCCTTGATGTCCTTGCCCTCAAGAGCCTGAAAAAAAGAAATCACAACGTAAGCGTTTGTCCAGATCGCGGGCCCCAATTTTTCGTTCCATTGTCACATAAGATTGTTGCGAAAAGGTGGTGCAGTATTTACCTTGGCGAAGAGGGAAGTCCAGATGGGCTCAACCTCGGCGACCTTAGCAGCACCGAGGAGGGTCTGGATCTTGTCGGCCTATAATCGAAGAAAAACCATGAATCAGCCCAGTTCCTTGTTTGCCTTGCAGTTTCGTAGCCGTTTCTGAAATTTTCCTCCTCTTTCCGTGCAATTCTTCCCAAGTTGTTTGCCGATTCCATGCCGCAGATATTCGAGAAATTCATGGACCAATACGTACGGTGATCTCGACGCCATCATCGGCGAGGATGAGGGCGGCGTAGGAGCAAGCGAGCTCGGCAGTAGACATGGTGGTCGACGGGTTGGACTTGACTGGGAGTCTCGAGAGGGATGGGATAGGAGGAGAGAGGAAGAGGAAGACGGAGACTTTTTTTCTACTGTCTTGTCGATGGAGATGGTCGGGCTGGCACTTGTTCCCAGAGCGGAAGTTGTGTGTTTGGTGCAAAGCCCTCGCTTAGGGCTGCCCCGATCGGGATTAGTTCCAGCCTTTACCCGTGATTTTGGCCTAGTCCCAACAGGGAAAGGATGATGCCATCATAGAAACACCCCTCCTCATTCCGACAGCTTCCAATCTACTAGTAGCTAGAGGGGTTATCGGATGTCTTTACTGGTGTCTACTCCACACGGCCGACTCTTCTTTTAACTTGGTGCATAATTTTCGGATTCTGTACCACTAACCGACCTTCTTATATCGGTTCGACATTTCCATCTTATTTTCTCTCTGCTATTGGCATCATGGACTCCCCCGCCGTCCCCGTCCCTTTCGACCCGCAGGAGCAACCGATCCTGGAGCGTCTTCTCCGCACCAGAGATGCACTCCTGCTGCTAAAACAAGACAAGTCGTCCTATATCAAATCTCGCGATGTGCTGCCGCTATACGAAGAAGTGATCTCCGAGGTGGAAAAGCTCAATGCTGTGCGGAAGGAACAAGACCGCCGGCTGACACACAACCGACGTTAGCATCTGAGTGGGCCTTGCGCGTAATATAGTCGGTCTGGCGAAAGATGGGCTAACGATTGTGATCTTTTGATCGATTCTTTCTAGTCGACTACGTACTCGACGACTGCTTTCAATTGATCTCGTTACTGTTCCTGACCGTGGGAAGGAACAATGAGGCTCCCGCAGTGTATGTTTGCTGAGTCGCCTGAGGATTGTCCTGTGTTTGTCTGAACTAACATTATCTCACGATAGATACTCCCTTGCAACAACAGTCAAGGTATAGCGGTCCTTTTTGAGCTGTCTCCGCCATACAATTGTGTTTCCTGACCTGTTCGATTAGCGCCTGCTTGACCACCTCGAAGAAGCTGGCTTTTACAGCTCAAAAGACCTCAGCTCGATCACCAAGACCCTGACCAACATGAAGGAGACAGTCGAGCGTGGTCGAGACGCATATTCCCCAGCTTTGATGACGCTCTTGGAAAGTCGACTTGAGCAGTGTCAACTGAAGTTGGATAAGTTGCGGAGTGGCCTTGAAGCCATGAACCCTGAGCTAGCACCCATTCATGAGACTCTCGTTTCAGTCTTGCGGTCCACAGCGGCAGCTAATACTCGATCAAAGGTAGTCCCTGAAATTTGGCGTGTCTTTTTGAGGGAGTGAGTGGACAAGCTAATGGTGCGTGGTTTCTAGTTCTCCGCAACGGAAGTGATCAATCTTCGGAAGCAGTTGACGAAAATCCAAGACACAATGAAGGACGGTAACTTCGTTGGAGCAGATGACAAGCCTCTCGAAGGGCAAGAGGGGGTTAAACAACTACTGGACCGGTGCTGGCGTTGGACCGAGATTGTGCTGGAAAGGTCAGACCGCCCATTCCCCCGCCTTGGATCTCGCCATGGCGGGTAGTGACCGAGTGACTGACTGTTTGCTTGTAGAGAGGGGAAGATTGACGAGCGCTTCCGCGACCAATACGAACGACTGCTAGAGATTCGTAACCAGCTGGATCGACTCTCCGTAACTCAGGCCTGGTCTCTTCGGGAGACCGACCTTTTCGGATACCAGCGGAAACTTGACCGTATTGATGAAGCTCGGGTCGATGGAAATTTCGTGGATGCTGAAGGGCAGCCGGCAGATCTCCATGCGCAGCGTGTAAGGATTTAAGCACGCTGAAAGTTGTGATGAGGCTTGTTACTAATTGTTGGCAGACATTACTATACCTCATTCGGAGGAGCTACGCCTATATCTACGCACTTCTGATCTCTTCGGAACCCGTATCTGAGGCCTTGCTGCCAGTCTACAATCAGTTGCAGACCTTGCGACGATGTCTCCTGGAAGTCAAAGAGTCGGGAGGTGTGTCGAATTCTCGAGAATTGTACCCATACAGTATGAAGGTGAGTGACCCCCAGCTTCCTTGCAAGGCACAGAAGTTGACATCGTACAGCTCAACTCCATTGACAACATGCGAGTTGACGGCAAATTCTATATGGGAAACGACATTCCCGAAGGACAGGGCAGCGTTAATGCGCTGCTGGCTGAATGCTATGATATTGTATGGGAGCTGCGGGCGGCTGTACCTGAAGACGAAGAGAAAAACAGCGCCTAGTTCTCTGCTGATGATATTCCTTGTATCTTGTCCCCTTCTTTCATGTACCAACGGCTTGAAATTTTGAGGTTCTCTCTTACAATGTTTGCGATTATCTCCTGAGATTTTAGTTCAGGCGTTTGTCTGGGCGCTTTTGGGATGCTATGACTCTTTTAACAGAAATGATTTGTCACCATTGTGCAATCTTGATCAGGGTAGCTGATACGAGTCCTAACACCACGAATCTTCTCTTCAACTTCCTAATATCTACCTAGGTAGACAGATAACATACTTTGGATGCCTGAGTTCCCTTAAACCCTGGATGATACCTTATCCCACGGGTGTCTGTCAGAACGTAACGTATTGTAATATGTACGCCGACCCCGGCATCGGCGTTGTCATAACCAATCAGATTGCAGCCAAATAAGTAAGCCGAAAAGCAGCAAAAAAAAAGGGCATTAAATGTTGCCATCTCCCCGAGCGTCGTCTTCTTTCTCCGCAATCCACACTTCCACAGGCCGTCAAGATGGTGAGGCAGCTTGTCTGGCAGCGGGCTACCGCCTCTCGCAGGGTAGGTTTTCCTTCGTGCTTTGTCAATGGCTTCTAGATGCAATTCCAAGGCCAGAGACAGTTGTTTTCTCTCCTTCTCTCCCTTACTATGACTAACTTCCGTGCCCCATAGCTGGCCCCGAAATGCCTCTCCCCGCAACAATTGTTCGCACGACGTGGCCTAGCCACTGAGGCGTCCGCCGCACGCATGCCGCCTTATCCTAAGATTGTGCGGAATCTCGAGCAGGTTCGGAAGGTGTTGGGATCCTCGCGTGCCCTCACCCTGGCGGAGAAGATCCTCTACGCCCACCTGGACAATGCGGAGGAGTCCCTGTTGACGGGCACTAACAATGGACAAGACATTCGCGGCAAAGCCAACCTAAAGTTGAAGCCGGACCGAGTGGCGATGCAGGATGCGTCGGCCCAGATGGCGCTGTTGCAGTTCATGTCCTGTGGCCTGCCGTCGACCGCGGTGCCCGCCAGTATCCACTGCGACCATATGATTGTGGGTGAGCGTGGCGCGGACACCGATCTGCCTGCCTCTATCGAGGGTAACCGGGAAGTGTTTGACTTCCTTGAGAGCGCCGCCAAGCGCTACGGTATTGAATTTTGGCCCCCCGGTGCGGGTATCATCCACCAGAGTGTGCTGGAGAACTACGCGGCCCCTGGTCTGATGATGCTGGGCACGGACAGCCACACACCTAATGCGGGAGGTTTGGGAGCTATCGCTATTGGTGTCGGTGGTGCAGATGCTGTGGATGCATTGGTGGATGCTCCCTGGGAATTAAAGGCGCCTCGTATTCTTGGTGTGCGACTGGAGGGTAAGCTGAGCGGCTGGGCCTCTCCCAAGGATATCATTCTGCATCTAGCTGGTAAGCTCACCGTCCGCGGTGGTACCGGCTATGTGATAGAGTACCACGGACCCGGTGTCGAGACGCTCAGCTGTACTGGTATGGCTACCTGTTGCAACATGGGTGCGGAGGTCGGAGCCACCACCTCGGTCTTCCCCTTCTCCCCCAGCATGGTTCCTTACCTGCAGGCGACGCACCGTGGCCATGTGGCCCAGGCGGCGGCCGAGATCGCTGCATCTGGTCCCAAGAACCTTTTGCGGGCCGACGATGGCGCAGAGTACGACCAGATCATCACAATTGACTTGTCAACGCTGGAACCTCACGTCAACGGGCCCTTCACTCCGGATCTGTCCGTGCGTCTGTCTGACTTTGCCAACACCGTCCGCGAGAACAAGTGGCCCGAGACTCTTGGTGCTGGATTGATCGGTAGTTGCACCAACAGTTCCTACGAGGACATGACTCGCGCAGAGGACCTGGTCAAGCAGGCGTCAGCGGCTGGTCTGAAACCCAAGGCGGACTTCTTCATCACGCCTGGCAGTGAGCAGATTCGGGCCACTCTGGACCGTGACCAGACCCTGTCTTCCTTCTCCGAGGCTGGCGGCACCGTCCTGGCCAACGCCTGCGGACCCTGCATCGGGCAGTGGAAGCGAACCGACGGTGTCGCCAAGGGCGAGGACAATGCCATCTTCACCTCCTACAACCGTAACTTCCCCGGACGCAATGATGGCAACCGACGCACCATGAACTTCCTGGCGTCGCCAGAGATTGTGACCGCCCTTGCCTACTCGGGCAGCACCACCTTCAACCCCATGACCGACACTCTGAAGACCCCGAACGGTGAAGAGTTCAAGTTCCGCCCTCCCCAGGGCTCTGACCTTCCCAGTGCTGGGTTCGCCGACGGCAACCCTGCCTTCCAGCCCAGCGCTGGTGTCCCTGACGCCTCCGTCGAGGTCATTGTTTCCCCCACCTCTGAGCGTCTCGCTTTGCTGGAGCCTTTCGCTCCCTTCCCTGAGGGCGAGCTGTCGGGCTTAAAGGTCCTGTACAAGGTCAAGGGTCAGTGCACAACTGACACCATCTCCGCGGCCGGTCCGTGGTTGAAGTACAAGGGCCACCTGCCCAACATCTCCGCCAACACTCTGATCGGCGCGGTCAACGCTGCCACGGGTGAGACGAACGTTGCATACGATGACGCTGGCAACAAGCACTCGATTCCCGACCTGGCTGCTCAGTGGAAGGCCGACGGCATTGAATGGCTTGTTGTGGCCGAGGACAACTATGGCGAGGGTAGCGCGCGTGAGCACGCGGCGCTGCAGCCGCGGTACCTGGGCGGCCGGATCATCGTGGCCAAGAGCTTTGCACGTATCCACGAGACCAACCTGAAGAAGCAGGGTGTAGTCCCCCTGACGTTCGCCGACAAGGCCGACTACGACCGCATTGACGCATGCGACCAGGTCGACACTGTCGGACTGTACGAGACACTGAAGTCCGGCGGTCAGGGATCAATCCAGCTGCAGGTCACCAAGAAGAACGGCGAGAAGCTGACGATTCCAGTCAATCACACTCTGAGCAAGGACCAGTGTGGCTTCATCCTGGCGGGAAGTGCCTTGAACTTGTTGGCCAAGCGGGCACACCAGTAATTTATATACCGGTGATAATTGGACAAAAAGAAATTGTATACATCTCTGGGTATTGGAGGCGTTCGCGTGTATGTACGTTCTGTCTGTTATAAGATATCCAATCGAACAGTTTGAATTCAATTTTGTGCCATGCATGATGCAATCTCACAGTCGACATTATCTGCTTGAGTCCAGAAATCAAGGAATCTCCCTAGCCCCGCGTCTCATCCTCGGCCTGCAACTGTAGGAACTTTCTGTTCATCACCGATTATACATACGTCAACTTTGATTATCCAGAGTTCTCCTTCCAGAACTCCATTCTCACTCGCAATGCCACAAACAGTCCGTCCGGCCTTTGCCGACCGGCCGCGTCCGCTACTCTCATACGGAAGTTCATTTCCCGCCGAATCAGCCCACCATGTTGTCGACACTTTCGGAGCCTCAAAGATCTACATCATCTGCTCGGGCTCGCTGGCCCGCAACACAGATGCTTTAGACCGTCTGGTCGCGGCGCTAGGACCAGAAAAGGTTGCCGGCCGTCGGATCGGCATGCAGAGCCATACTCTATGGTCCGAAGTCCTGGAGATCGTGCACGATGCGCGCCGAGTTGAGGCTGATCTACTCTTGACGCTGGGCGCAGGCAGTCTGACCGACGGAGCCAAGGTGGTCGCATTGGTAATTCCCCGCGCTTTTTCTGTCCCAGTAAAGTAATTAACGAGCACAGGCTCTTGCAAACAACGTCCAGACGGCATCCGACCTCGCAACTCTAGCCACAGGCCCGGACCAACGCGCCGACATCCACGCACCCACCATCCCCATCATCTCCATCCCCACCTCCCTCTCCGCAGGCGAGTACTCCAACTTCGCCGGCGCGACAGACGACACCACCCGCCGGAAACACTCCTTCCAGGCGCCGACGCGCGGGCCTCAGCTCGTCATCCTCGACCCGTACCTCGCAACCACCACCCCGCCGTCCATCTGGCTGAGCACCGGCATCCGCGCTGTCGACCACTGCGTCGAGACGCTGTGCGCCACGACCGGCACATCCGAGACGACAGACGCGCACGCCATGCACGCGCTGGAGCTGCTCGTCCCGGGCCTGCTGCGGTGCAGGCATGACCCTGCCGGCCACGACCGCGACGCGCGCCTGCAGTGCCAGCTTGGCGCCGTGAATGCCATGGCGGCGTTGACGGGCGGGTCTGCGGTCGAGCTGGGCGCCAGCCATGGGATAGGCCATCAGCTTGGGCCATTGGGGGTCGGGCACGGCGAGACGAGCTGTATCCTGCTGCCGGCTGTGTGCAAGTTCAACGCGAGGCATGGCGCTAATCGCGAGCAGCAGGAGCGGGTGCGGGAGTTTCTTGTGCGGAACGCCGAGGTGGCGCGCGTGCTGCGCGATCGGGGCGTGGATGCCTCGTCGGCGGATCTGGGCGATGTCTTGGATGCGGTTATTCGGGAGCTGGGGATGCCGCGCTCGTTGAGGGAGGTGGGGGTGGGCCGCGATGCGCTGGACGAGCTGGCGGCCAACAGTCTGCATGATCGCTGGTGCAAGACGAATCCCGTGCCGTTGACGGAGAAGGGGCAAGTACTGGAGATCCTGGAGATGGTCGTGGAGTGATTGTGGCTACTATAAAGCGGTACGTTGATGATCTTTATGACACATTACCGAGATGGGTTTACCACAGGACCAAGTACTGTCTATTTCAATCCAAAGTCATGGTTTGTAACTCACGAGATATATAATCCCTCGAGGGATCAAGACTCTCGTACAACGCTGTATAGAGACTCATCACAGGAATAAAGGAAAATAACAAACGACAAATCATGACTGCCAGTTGTATTCATATACTTGCATGCATATCGAGATTCATACCGAGAGAGAAAGGAAACAACAAATTATAAAGGCTCACTGGAAGTAGCTTCGCACCGCCGCCTGGTTGTCAGGGCTCACTCCTGCCAGGATTTGCTCCGCATTCAATCCTGTAGCGGCCACCAGTTGCTTGGCCGAGTTGGCCACGCGTCCTGCCGTTTGGCCCTGTAGCGTCTCGGCTTCCAGAGCCTGCACGATGTATCCAAACACCTTGTCGGCATTGGATATCACCACCGGGTTTTGTCTGTTCAATGGTCAGTCAATCACAGAGCACATCACCGAACGGGGAACAAACGTACTGGTCAATCAATTGGGCAAGGAAGGAATAAGCGTATGGCGCAGCCTCCTCATCGTAAGTGATCGGAAGTGTGTTGATCCAGTTCGCCACGATCTCCTGCGCGTTCTGCACCTTGCTGGGGTTATAGTGCAGGATCTTGGCGATACTGGCCGAGGCGTTCTCGGTCGCAAATACATGCTCCTCTGTACGAGCCTGGTTGATCTGTGTCACTTGGAACAGGCTTGGGATGCTGGCAGCGACGAAGTCGCTCCAGGCAGGGCCACCCTTCTGAGCGGCAACACCGACTCCGTAAGCCGCTGCCTGCCGGTTAGCGGCATTCTCATCGCGCAGACCTGCGGCCAAGGGCTGCATGATATGATCCTTGTAATTCCATGACTCGGGGCCGCAGAACTCGAGGACGTCGTCCATGATGCACAGAGCCCATTGCCGTTGGGTGGGGTCCTGGCTGGTGATGAATGCCTCATAGAATGGCAGCAAGCGTTGCCATGAGGGCAGGAAAGTCGTGCCCTGGTTCTTGAAGATGGTGTGGAATGCCTTGTTCATGTCGCTCAGCAGGTTCTGGTCATCCTCAACCGCGTACTCGTAGTCGAGGTCCTCTTCGTCACCCTCTTCCGTATCGGCGCGCTCCTCAAGACGAGCTTTCACACGGACCTGGTAATCCTCCAGCGTGGACTTGGCAGATTCGATGAACGCTTCCATGTGCTGCGGGCTCAGGCAGTTCTTGCCAACCACTTCGACGGATTCGTAGAAGCACTGGTACATCTCCGCCAGAGTGTCCACTGTGGGCTCGGCGCTCAGAACCTCGATGATCTTCTCAGCTACCCTGTTCCACATGGCAGCGAATCCGGGAGACTGCACACCGTGCGCCTTCTTGTACGAGTTCAGGAGCTGAGGGATGAGCTTGGCGGACGAAACCCGCACAGGGTCGTGGAAGAAGAACGCAAGTCCAGGCACGGCAATCTTCTCCATCGTCTCCAGCACAAAGGGCTCAAAAGCAGCCTCCAGGATCTGAGCGTAGATGGTAATCAGCTCGATGGCGGTGTTCTTGTCTTCCAATGCGCTGGTCTTGATACCAATGATCTTGCCCTTCAGGGGGACCAACTCCCAGCCCTCATCCTGTTCAACTTGGTCAATCTGGTCCTCATCATCCAACAGCTGGATGTCAGCCTTGGCAGCCGCAACGGACAGAAGAGGAGGCATGACAGCTGGCAGGTAAGGGACAAAATCCTGACCAAGAACGCGGCACATACGGCCCCAGCAGTGGAGCAAGTACTGCGACTGCGGGTCGTCCGCATCGACAATGTTCTGTTGGATGTTACCGAGCAGCTGCACGAGGTTGAACGCATCCTGTCCCATCTTCTCCTTGCCCACGGCCAGGGCAATCAGAGTGGCGCACTCCATAGCCTTGGCACGCAGCAGACGGTACTCCTTGGATTGCTCCTCCTTCAGGACGTTAAAGAGCAATGGCATCAAGGTCTCGTAGAATTGATCAAAGGCGTTCTCCGCCGAGTCGGCAATGGTGGCAATGGTGGACAGCGCTTGTTCCTGCACATAACGTTTCTCGCTGCGCAGAAGCTGCAGAAGGTGTCTCAGGAGATCAGCAAGGTACGGCTCGAGTACCTTCTTCTCTGCTTCTTCGCAGAAATTGACCAGAGCGGCGGCCGCGTGGGCCTGAACTCGTGGCTCAGCACTATCCAAAACGGGGATGATGTTGTTCAACACAACGTTGTGGTACTTCTCCTGCATCGTTCCGGCGAAATCGGTGCTCATTTGGCCGAGGGCGTTGCAACCCGCATAACGGACACGCGGGTGAGGGTCCTGGAGAGCCGGGACAACAAGGGCCAGCACTTGATCGAGCTCACCGACCATCAGGTCACGGCAACCCTCGGAAATGGCGGAGATGGCCATCAGTGCTGCGTGGCGATCGCGCCAAGCGGAGGACGACATCATACGGGGGATCCAGGCAAAGGTCGCCGGAAGGATAACCTGGCCGCCGAGCTTGTTGGCCAAACGGTCCATGCACTGTTCGCCAGCAACATGGTTAAGGTCGCTCTCCTCCAAGTCCAGGTCCTCGGACGCATTCCATTCCGAAGCATCGTCGTCGTCAACTCCAATATCGGTCATCAAGCTCAAACATTGGGTGACCATCTCCTGAGCAAACTCGGGATCCTTCTTGCACATCGAGGGGGCGTAATCGGCAAACGTAGCCATCAACTCCAAGGCATTCTGGCGAACCTGATCGCTGAGGTCCTTGTCGGCAATCACACTAATACTGAACTTGACCAGGTTGTTGAACATGGCCTTGAACATCTTCGGGCAAACCTCCGCAAGCTCAATGAGAGCCAAGAAGGCGGAAGACAGCTCCTCGCTCTCGGAGGACTCCTTCAGAGGGGGCAAAATGTTGAGCATGTCGGGCACCAGTCCGAAAAACTTGGGTTGAGACTTCTTGGAGATAGACCGGAAGAACGAGGCGAAGGCCTCCATAGCAGCAATGCGAACCTACAAGCGCAATGGTCAACCTGGACTCCCGTGAGCGCTACGTTGAAAGGTCCCCACATACAGTGACAACATCATCCTTGAAACCCTTGCCGAACACGCCTGAAACGGCATCCTCGTGGTTCTTCTCGATGATACTGGGAGTCGTCGAGAAAATGCGGAAGGCGGCCTCCCGTAAACCTGCCTCGGGTGACTGGCTGGCCTGGAAAAGCACGCCGAGAAGCTCGGGCCATTGATCGCCTAGAGAAAGACCATTCGTCAGATATGGAATCCTTTTCACCCCCCATGAAATTGCGCATACCGTTATCGGTGTATTGTCTGGCAACCTCCGCCACTGCATCGCCAATCTTTTTCCGGACA